AACAGAACACGAGATGGCTTCAGACACTGCAAAAATAAACTCCAGGCAGAAGCCACAGGTTTCCCTGAAAACAGCCTCACTGGGCGAGTTCCACCAGGAAAAGGATTTGTTGGATATTTGTTGGCTCACCACTTCTTGAAACATTAACCTTTCAAGTAGGAACCAGAGCCTGGTTAGGGGCTGCTTGAAGTTTACAAGGTATCACAGCCCTGCTGAGCTACTTCTGCCTGTATTTTACACAGCTACATTTTATTATTCTGTATAACTTCTTTAATATTATTGATTTTTGTCACGGAGCCCTTACCCAAATATGACCTCTAACTGCAGTCCATGCACTAAACTTGCAGAAAGATGGGTGTTTTGGTTTTTTTTGGGTTTTTTTTTGGTTGTTTAAATGGATGGTGAAGCAACTTCCGTCTATTTACAGCTCAGTGGCTATTTTACTAATCCTGTGTTTGTTTTTCCTCATTCTCTTTGTCTCAAAAAAATGTTATTTTTGTTGTCAGGGAGATGGATTTGTGTTTTGTCTGGCAAATAAAGTGATGTGCAAATGGTTGCGTGCTCTGCAGAGCAGTTGGTGCTTGTGTTTGGTTGGGGACTGTGGAGATTTGGGGGTGGTGGCTGTTTCTGTTTGTTTTGATGCTGCTGACAGTCAGACTGGGGCTTTTGGAAGTGTTTTTCTCACTGCAGTGTATTTTCATCCTGAGGAACTGAGGGAACGAGCCAGTTAACATTTTACTTTTTATGCTGTCTTCTCCCAGATTTAAAACTTGAGTTGCTTTCAGTTTCAGCTAAATAAAAGTCTCTTAAGTAAGGATGTTTTGGGACACCTCAAAGCTAAACTGGAGCTTATCTCTGGCTTGGTGGGAAACCTGACTCCATCCTACCCTGAGATGGGGTTTGGGTGCTGGGCCCATCCATCACTGTCAGACCCCATCTGTGCCAGGCATTAGATGCTGGTAGCCCAAATCTTCCCTGCCCCAGCCCCCTGCTCCTGAATTCCTCATTACTTCCTGATTTCTGTCTCTTATCAAATATTTGTCCTGTTGTCCAAAGCTAACAGCCAGGGAGTTGGAGTCATTAGAGGATATATGGAGGTACCACAGAAGAATTCTCTAGGAAGCTGCAAGTGCTTTGACCCAGCCAGATACTTCAAGATCTTAGGAAAGCAAGGCAGGATACTTTGGGAATGTGTGTTTGGAAAATAAACCTCAGCTTCCTCAGGGCTCTATCCAGGCCATCCCCTGCAGGCTAACAGGGCCACATCTCCCAGCTTGCCTGAGGAGCTGTCAAGGATCCCTCCCTGGTGGTGATCCCTGCAGACACCAGGATTTTCTCTGTCTGGGCTTGTGTTTGTGTGGCCGGGCAGGAGGGCTGGGGAGGGTTAGGAGCAGGAGTGATGTGCCCAGGATTTGGGTGTTGCCAGAGGCCCCAGGAATGGTTCAGGGCTTTGTGCTCCTGGCAGCAGCACTGAGCCTAAACCTGAGCAGAGCTGCAGGTACAGGCAGGGAAGTGCTGTTGCTCTCCAGTGTCTGAATAATTCCAGAAGAGTTTAGGAAGATTATAATAAGCTTTGAAATGGTAGAATTAGAGAATCATCAGGGTTGGAAGGGACCTTTAACATCATCAAGTCCAGCTGTTGACCCACCCCTACTGGAACCATTGAACCACATCTCCCAGATCCAAAACTCCTCCAGGGATGGGGCCTCCACCACCACCCTGAGCAACTTATCTCAGTGCCTGACCCCAAAAACAATGAAAAAAAAATTCTAGTATCTAACTTTAATCTCCTGTCTCAGCTTAAGGCTGTTTATCCTCTTGCTGTTGTGGAAAGTGTCAGGATAAATCACTCTCCAACACTATTTTTTTTATTATTGGAAAGTAGACATTGCTGCAGTCACAGCACTAGGATAGTTCGACCTGGATGTAAAAATAAAGGAGTTTTTCCCAGTTAATTACTGTATACAAAGGCAAATGCAGATAAATAAGGTGGCATTTGAGAGCTTGAGGACTTGTATGCTGGGATGTTGGGAGTGATGGTGGGGATGGAGATATTCCATGGCTGAGGGAGGAGCAGCTCAAAGGAAAAGGCTGAACCAGGGCAAGGGATGGATACTGATCCAGAGGAAAGGTTGGATACTGAATGAGGGGAAAGGCTGGATGCTGATCCAGAGGAAAGGCTGGATACTGAATGA